TTCGAAATTTATTTCTCTTTGCAACACGTTACAAAAGAATATTTATTGAAATGGTATTTATAAAAAGATTAATCAATTAATGAACCAGCTAAATATTTTTCTTATTTATAAATTGTTTCTGTTGCAAGCTTTTTTGTTCGATTTTACATAAATAATTTTTTAAAGAAATGTTAAAACATATGTGTGTAAAAATAAATGTAAAGAATTTATTTTTTAAATTAGTTGAAAAATGTAATTTTGCAATCTGTTTGATTCTATGAAGTTTAATGCATACATATATGGTATTATATTATATTATACTATATCATATTAATCATATTATACATATGTGTTTATTAACCTCTAGAAGACCGGAAGCTGATAAATCGGTTCCTGACGACTTAAATGAATTTTGTGAAATTTTAACTTTTTATAGTATTTACTTCAGTACCTCATACAGATAATAATTGATATCGAAACTTCCTGCCTATTATGGAGAAGAGGAAGGGAGGCAGAGAATATTAGACCCACAAGTAAACCTACGGAGGTGTCACTCACCGATTTTAATGAAACTTTGCATATATGTAGAACTTTGAAAAATATTTGAGACGTATTTTTTTTTATCTGCAATGGTCCACTCTGAAGGGTGAAAATTACCTCTTAAAGGTAAGGGATAGATTTAACATATTAGGTGAAATAAGTTAAAAATTTTAAAAAGTAAAATGTGTTACGAGGTTTTTGGGGTCGCTGAAACTGAATCTTATGTCAAAAGTATGAAATTAAAAATGGCTGACCCAATATGGCATCCAGATCGATACATTAAAGCTTTTATAAGTTTTTATTAAAGTGAGTAAATTTTAAGAATTCTCTTGTCATCACAGAATTAAAATTTCCGATTTTTGGGTTGATGATTTTAAACATGGTGTTAAAGATATAAAATTCAAAATGACAACCTCAATATGGCAGCTATATACGTTAAAATTTATAATTTTTGCAAAAAATGTGTTGATACAAGGTCCTCACCTTTCGGGGTGCTTTTTTACAGTGAGTCCTCTTGTCTTTCACCTTTCGCACGTTATTCTTGAAAAATTTTGCAAATGTGATAATCTGTAAAGAAATGGTTCATGCATAAAGATTTTGTGCACCATGCACATCTAATTACCGTTGAAGAACTACAAAAATTACAGATTGCCGCACATTTCTTAAAATGGTAATCAACAGGATTATCAAATTCAGGAGGTTTTTCTGACATGTAACCACTTTTATACCAAGCGTATTTAATAAGATTTTGAATCGAGAGGAAAAAACTGGATATGGATTAGTGAATGGGACTTAATAATATTATTACGGTGATGAATTTAAAATGATAAAAGTCGTTCAAAAACTTGCCGGTCCTCAGGAGGTTAATATATTAATAAATAAATTTATTAATATTTTTCATTGTATACATAATTTTATTGTAAACATGTAAAATATGGTTCTGATTTTGTCTTATGTAATAACATGCTATTTCCTTCTAGATCGTACCTTGAGAATAGCACCAAGTGCAGATATTGTTACGCCAACGAATTTCATCACAACTTTCAAGTTATGTCTCAGAATATAACACATATGCAAACTTAATATTGTATATAGAATCATCGCCAAAAATGTACAAACTGACCAGTAGTAAGTGAATTTGCTGGATTTTGTGGGCATATACCAACAACCACAGAGAGTGAGCAGATTTTGAAGGAATTGCTGATACGTGCGATACGCTTTCAACTGTTTATGAATCATTTTAATACCTGCATGTACAGGGTCCCTTGTTTTAATTTTCGTATTGAAATATCTCAAAAAATATAAAAGATACGAAAAAAATTTTTGAAAAATTTGTGTAAGTATTTTGTAGAGGAACACACAAATGATTATAATATTAATTCTCTCAAAGGACTTGATTTTTCAAAGATCACATAAAAATTACAGCCATTTTAAAAAATGGAATTATGATTTTTTTGTTATACATAATGATTTCTTTAATTATTCTCTGTATAAAAGTATCAAGGTCCAGATAACAAAAAATTAATAGTTTATTTTTTATATCATTTTCCCAGTAAACAAGAAACGTTCCAAAACATTTCAGTAACGTTGCAGTAACGTTGTAACGTTACTGACACGTTTCAAAATGTTACTGAAATGTTTTTTGTTTAGTGGGTTGTGTAAAATATCACAAAAATCCATTTAAAACTCTGATTTTTATGGAACTTTGAAAAATTATTTTTTCCTAAATTTTTTTATTATTAATATATGTCATCCACCATATCATATATAGTATGTATACATTTTTTGCCTAAAACATTTTTAATTTTTACAATCTCACGCAGTTTTAGTGTTAATCAAAATAATATTAATTGCAAATAAATTTTTTCAATAATATTCGAAGTATAATCGGCGACTGGTCCAGTAATGTGAACGTTCTAAAAATATGTTTATTAAAACTGGGATGAATGAACTTTTCCATTTTACAACCAATAATAAATCACACAGTAACGTTATTATGATTTCGTTATGACACTTATTGTTACGGAAATTTACAATAATATACATATGTATTTCAAACATCTAAAAGAAATTATAAGTTTTCATACACTACCACATCATATATGTATATACAAAATCTAATAAAACATACGTGATAAATTTTCACTGTCGTAAGTGCGAGTTTCAAGAACAAACTTGTCTGTCAGAAGTCTTTGAACTGAAGAATATCGCTGAAAATATCTGTCGTTCTTTCTGATACGATAGTTTTGCAAGTAATGATACCAAGTCAGAGAACGAGACTTTACCTTCTACCTTACCGTATTCAAACTGTTATTGAACGATTGCAATTTGTATATTAGGGTCTCTTTGAAGTATCTTTTCGTTGACTATTATTTGCGTTATACGTATTGATATTGAGGACTTGAAAAATTAATAGCTAATCTTGTGGCCAATTTAATGTGTCATTCGATAGAATTGTTTGAAATGGATCATAATTTAGATTTGTTATGACTACGGACAAACTATAGATACAAAAAAAGTTGCACTTCAAAGAGAATGACAAAGTGAATCATGAGACCGCATGAGTTGCACCGCAAAATGCATCGAGATTAGGGTTATTTCTTCTCATTTAACTTATTGAAGGTAGATAGATTTACGATTCTCTTTTTTTATACGAAATAAGAAAGTCTATTTATTGATCATAATACTGTTGGTATACCTTGCGCACGACATTGGAAGAATATTGGTACTTATATACAACCAAGGTTATAGTGAAGATATAATAAAAAAACAGAAAGGCCCGTTCATCACCTACACGTATGCTTGTCATTTATTTCTTTCGTATGTATATATTATTGATATATTTTTCTTGTACATTTTACTAAATTAATGCGCAGCTTTATTAAACATATGCGTACATTGATCGATGACGTTTCACAATATTTTCCATAAATTTATCTGCTTTACAACGATAGAGAGAGGTATATTTACGAGGATTATTTTTATTTCTGAGATAAAGAAGACTCTTTACACTGTCGATCGAAACATTGTCGTTGTTAGCAATATATATGTATATTGATGCTTGCAGCTTATTGTTAGATAACTTGAGGATATAAGCACATATCTGTATTACTGAAAGGAGCCCTCTCAGTTCCCTGCGCTCGATAATCACCCTTTCTCGAGTAAGTACATTGACGATATTGACATATCTTCCCTTTACGTACTATCAGGTCAGTGTGCGCAATTTGAAAACCTTTTATATGCAATAATCAATAAAGATATACAGGGTGGTCCGTTTTAATCTATCGATGCGAATATCTCGGAAAGTACGCATCTGATTGAAAAGTTGTAAAGGGAAAATTTGTTTGTTTAGATGGGGGACATCCAATAACACCGAACTCGGCCCCCCACCCCCAGTATAAATTAAACATTAACAGTATAATAAAAGTGTGAATAAATTACATTGATTGCATTTTCTTAATTATATTTATTTTATAACAAAATTTTACAATTTACTACTGATTACGAAACATGTACGCATAGGATTCATCCATATCCGCTTTTATCATCGATAGATCGCAATAGAAATAAATAGGATATTGTCATTCACGAATTGTTAATGAAAGCAAAACGATTATGGTATAAGTTTAATATACAAATGTATGTATAGGTTTAAAGATTATTGGCTAATGTAGAGACTTTTCTATGCTTTATGGAAAATGATAAGAATTCGAAGAAGTCAATTTGACAAATAAAATAATGTTCTAAATAACTTATAATTAGAACAATAAATAAAATAATTTATCCTTTTATACTTTTTTATTTGTTTAAGATCTATATAATAAGATATATCTTCTATTTTAAAATAACTTAATGTTTTTTGCGTGTAAAGTATCAAATTCAAATCTTTCTTATTCTATTTTCTTAAATTTTGAATAATGAATTTTCCCGAAAAGAAAGGATAAATATTGTGCTTTATAGCAATGCATGAAGGTAATGGATGAAGGAAGCTGGTGTTAATAACTCTATGGACGGTTCCTAAATGCACATATCAAGATTAAACACATTCTCTCATATCAGTCAGTGCCAAACAATTTTTGAATGAGCACGGATATCTAATGAGCACGGAGTATGGTAAAAACGTTCGATTTTTGGTCCCATGTGAAGTAAACTATAAAAAGTTGTCTGGGGACCACATGAAATAGGAAGAATAGTCTTATATCCAAGAAGTGCAAGGAAAATAGATTTTTTTATTATATTTTGCCTTCCTTTATAAGTCGAATTTTCGTCTACCACGTTAGATCGAATTTTTCATGAATCGAATATAATGTAAAGTTTCTTATGATAATTGGTACATAAAGGTTTTAAAGATTGTTGAAATATAAATTAAGCATTAATCGTGTAATAATAAAATAAATTTTAATAGATTACATTGATTGCATTTCTTTAAATTATATTAATAACACAATGACAACATGATGATTTTATGAATTTGCCGGCGGTTACAAAATATACGTAGCGTCCATCTCTATCCGTCTTTATTCGATAGATTGCAACAGGAAAAAATAAGACATTGTAGCGTTCACGGACTATTAATAAAAACGAAATAAATAGAATTAGATTAATATGAAAAAGTATGCAGTTGTAAATATTATTAGCCAATGTATAGACTTTCCTAAGCCTTGCATAAAATAAAAAATTGCTAATAATTTGGAAAAATCAACTTCACGGGTAAAATAATCTTCCAATTCCCTAATGAAAATAAAAATCGGAGCGTAAATCGGATGTAATGGCAGAGTAACAGAAGCATTAACGAAACTTCTTGAAGGCGAAAATTGGAACAATGAAATTGTAAAAGAAGCATTTACGCTTCTTTTACATTTTGAGGTTTCAATTTTCGCTTGCTAGAAGTTTCATTTACGCTTCGATTATTCTCCCATTACATTCGACTTATGCTCTGATTTTAATTTTTATCAGAATTGACGTAATTGAAACGGTATTTGAAATCTTATAATTCTTTATTTCTTTATTCGTTTTGGCTAAATTTTATAATATGTAAATAATATATATTTTAAAATAATTTTAATTTCTTTGCTCATGTATTAAATTCAAATTTTTTATAATTTGTATTTTCTTAAGTTCTTTTATCGTATTTTGCAAAAATAAGATATCGATGCTGTTTTAAAATAATGGTAGTGAATAAAACTGAAAGCGATTGGAAAGTCATAAGCTTTCGCTCACAAGGGAACTTTGCGAAGTGTCCGATTATGATTTTAATGAAGCTTTGTACACATATTATGTTAATATAATAGATAAATTTAGAAATTATCAAGGGAAAATTTTAGAAAATGGGCGATCTCAACGATTTCACTAACTTTGACATACGTATACTGTTACTTGTCAAAAAGATATTAACAAGAAGAGATTTAAAAAATAACTTCATTTTTCTGTTACATAGAATTTTATTGGTTTTATTTTCAATATTATTATTGTTTTCCAATTTCATCTATTTACGTAAACTATGTGCAAAAGAAATTTCATTAAAATCGGAATTTGGTACTTCACGGGGTTCTCTTGTCAGATAAATTCGACCGATTACACAGTTCTATAAAAATTTTTTTCGTACAGAAGGTTGCTAGTTATTTTCTATTGTTCTTCAGTTGGATGCTGAATACGAAGCTGGTTTTAAAATTGCTCCATTACGTTATAATTGTGAGAAATTTGCAATCAAAGTTACAAAAAGGGGTAATTTTTAGGTATTTTATCATATTATAATTTTGTGATGTATTTGACAGACAGGGTCTATACAGACAGGGTATCAAAAGTCTATACAGTCGAATATCTCGAAAGCAAAACATTTTTGAGAAAAATATTTCAAACAAAAGTTGTGGGGTTTAAAAAAATCTATTTTTTAATGGAACACCTTATTTTTGATGCTAGAATCTAATAGCTGTGTGGTGTCAGAGTTTATTGAAACACTATATAACATAATTACTTTTCCTTAAATACTTTTCGAGTTATAAAGCTTGGAAGTTACAGTACTGTCAGCATTAGCACTACCATAGATGTCTGACCGACGTTGTACTTCTTATTTTCATTTTTACGTAAAAATAAATTTTTAGTGCAAAAATAAAAACAAGAATAATCTCCAATGGCCTTGATCTTAACAAATGTTATCCAGGATATGATCCTAAACAACATTCAATAGGTTTTAGAAGTAAGTTGGTCACTTTGCATAATGATAATAGGTCGTTCCACTTAAAAAAATCGATTTAACCTTAACGACGTCATCTAAGGTCAAACGGACATGTGATCAGTGAATAGCTTTTTTTAAACCCCACTTTTGTCTGAAATATTTTTCTTAAAAATGCTTTGCTTTCGAGATATTCGACCGTATCCAGACTTTTGATACTCTGCATAATATTGGCCGGAGCATACCATCAAAACCATTTAGACCAACTTAAAAAGAAATGAACTATAATGTATGGGTAGAATACATTATTATATTCTCTTTCTCTTGAAACAAAATTCAACCAATAAGACAATAACAGAAAAAGGCTTCCGTGCTTATGTACTTACTTGTTTTTAAGTCAAAATGAAAGATTAAAGATATTTATTGTATACTCCATCCAATACTATATATCAATGGATGTGTTTAAGGTTTTCTTGCAATCAAAATTAAATAGGTTTATGTGTCATCTACGGTTAGATATTCCATGATTAAATATGAAGTTTATCGCGAGAGAGAGATAGAGGGGGAGAGAGAGAGATGAAATTGGAACAACTGATAATCTTATGCGCGGAACTAGTTCGCTGAAGATTTCGAACAATAAAGCCTGTTTTATAATATTCATTTTGTTTTCTATTTCTTGCCTTTTACTGTTTTTTAATTTTTTACATCTTATCTTTTTGGCTCTTAGGCCTGTATTCACAGTCAGATCTTATATTCAAGACCGTCGTAAGTACGGTCTTAAGAAGTCACGAACCAATCAGGGGGCTGCATTAGCGTCTTAAGACTTTACTTAAGACGGTCTTGAAATAAGAATCCACTATGAATACCGGCCTTATTTCGTTTTTCGTTTTCTATCGCTCGTGACAAAAGTTAACAAACTTCGGAAGAAATACGTAGGAAGCAATATAATTGACAATAAAATGGTTGCAAAGAGGGAAGAAAGTAAGAGGTAAACAGCAAAAAACAGGAAACAAAGAGCTCGTTGTAGAATAGACATCTTATGATTGTATATTGAGATTTTTTAAACTCTTATATAGAATTATTAAACGAATGCTGGAGTATCCAAATTCTCGGAACGTTGCAGATCGATATAATCTATGAATTTACTGAACGGAGTAAAAATCGTTTTACAAGATTAAAATAGACGCAAAATTTGGTGGTGTCGTAATAGACTTTAAACCAAAATCGAAAAAAAAGTTAAAAACTTTTTTTTCAATTCATAGAGCTGTTACCTGATGAAGACATTTCCCTAATACCAAAAGTTTTATAGTGCTTATGGATCAAACAACAGTTCAATACTCTCTCTACCAACGAAATTCATATTAAAAACCGTCAACTCTGGGCAAAATTTCGGTGGTACAAAAAGAGCCCCAAGGGCCTGGAGGTTATTGAGTTCTAAATGCATATACACCAATAAACACATCTACAAACCTAATAAATCGTAAAAATAGTACAATATTATCAGTTTTTTACTCTTAATCACTTCAATATTAACAAGGACGCGAACTCTCATATATGTTGGCCTAATTATAGGTTATATTTGTGAATATATGTTGGTTTTTAATAGTATCTCGTGGGTGGCAGCACTAAGCGCATTACATTATAGGTACGTTCGGGGAGACGTTATTAGCGCTATTTCTGTCATTCTATCCTTGTTTTACATCAAATAAACAACAAAGATGGAATAACAGAAGTAGCGCTAATAGCGTCTCTTCGAACGAATCATATAGGGACTGGATTTGCGGCGCGCAAAGCGACCTCTGGTGATTTCGTTGGAGTTCGAGCTTCGCTTTAGGATTCCCTTAATTTCTTTGCGTGCATATAGGGCATTTGGATTACCTTCATTTAATTACAATAAAAATTTCTCCAGCATGTGGCATATATCGTAATAATAATAATAAAACACGTGGAAACAGTCCTTTTTGCAACTTTTACTGAAAATTTCTCAAAATTATGAAATGACCGAGCAATTTAAAAACGAGATTTGAATTCACAGCGTCCAAAAACTGTAGGAAATAACTATAGTCAGTTCTGATACATTTTTCTATTGAACTTATTATAATTGAAACTGAAATACTTACCTTGGTAAACATCATTACATTGACGGGAGAAAAAAATGCGTATACAGTCATTGGCTTTTGCATCATTATTAAAATAACATTTGTTCTCACATGACGATCGAGACTAGAATTGGACCACTTGCTAAAGTATATTCCTTTACGAAAATCTTCGCCCTAAATGCGTATATTGAAAATGGTCAATTTTGAGTTATATAAAAACCATTTTTTCAGATTATAAAAACTTACTGCATTTGTGAGAAAAGTGCCATACCATGCGTATATAAATGTTTGAAGCAGTTTTATTATAACATATGTTATAGATGAGGACAAGTTGTGAAAATTATATTCCTGTAACTATATTGTAACCGTTTACCGATTAATACCATATCAGTGAATATTTGTATAACGCAATGCCATTAACAGAGCAAGAAATTTGGTAGCGCAGTACAGTCTTTGACTTTATATTTTGTGACAGATTATGACTGCACCCCGCATACAGTAGACTAGATACCATAAAATCAAACATCTTATAACATTTTGCAATAATGTGTTTACATACTGATATTAGATCGTACATCATCGTGCAAAGAAGCACGGCATTGGTGACAATATGCCAAAAGACGATGGGTCCATATACGTGTTCCAATGTATTGCGACATTGCAATAGCTTCTGATGTTTCACCACGCATGTTCTCAGGAGATTCGAGAACTTCTCGGTGGATGAAGGATTCGTGAGAGCGAAGGTCATAGCGCGTATTGTTGAACTAAGCTGATAAACATAAAAGCCAAAAGCACTGTCGACACCGCACGCCGTCATGCCGCTGAGTACTACTATGCCTGTCTCACAGAATAGATGTAGATGATATAAAAAATTGTCGGGAATGGGCCAGAACCACCCCAGTCCCCTGCTGAGCGGCAGGGTATAACTTGTGGATAAATGAAAGTAGAAAAGATTGTGGATTACAAAGATATACGGAGATGCAATATATGCGATTATTATTCCTACCATAGCAGCGAAATATGTATATGTCAGGGTATATATTGTAGGCAGAGATGAAAATATTATCGTCTGGATTTTTTCATTCTTCAGCTCCTCCTCAAAAAGATTATTTAGTGTCCGATGATAATTTATCAGAGAATCACGATTTATCATAAAGGTTACCACCTTAAAAAAGACCAGAGACATACATATGTTTTTCCCGTGCAAAAATTGAAATTATTCAAAGATTGATGAAATACCTTTGATTAAATGATTTTAAATTTGTAATATTCGAAATTTTTTCCTCTTTGAAACACGTTACAAAAATATATTTATTGAAATGGATATATAAAAAGATTAATCATTTAATGCACCAGCTAAATATTTTTCATTTTTACAAATTGTTTCTCTTGCAAGTTTTTATTTTCTTCGATTTTACACAAATAAATTTTTAAAGAAATATTAACATATATACGTAAAAATAAATGTAAAGGAGAATTTATCTTTTAAATTAGTCGAAAAACGAAATTTCGCAATCTGTTTGATTCTATAAAGCTTAATGTATACATATATGGTATTATATTATATTATATTATATTATATCATATTATATTATATTAATCACATTATACATATGTGTTTATTAACCTCTCGAGGACCGGAAGCTGATAAATCGACTTCTGACGACTTAAATGAATTTTGTGGAATTTTAATTTTTTATAGTACCTACTTCAGTATCTCATACAAATAATAATTGATATCGAAACTTTCTGCCTATTATGGAGAAGATGGAGGGAGGGAGAGAATATTAGCCTCAAAAAGAATCAAGAAAGAGTGGAGCGGATAGCGTTTTTCTTCTCTTTTTTTGTTTACATATTGACATTGTCCTTTTTTCTTTTTATTTTCGTTGTTGACCTGACATCTTTCTTATCATATTAAATATATTAGTCATGTTTCATTTGAGCTGCGATCAACATGCGTTTTTTAATTTGATACTCTTTAGTTAATATTAATTGTAATTGATTGATACAATGTCGAGACGAATTCCTTTTATGTCTTGGGGTAAGTGACCAGTTTTTAATGTTAATTTGAAACTTGTTGGATAGAAACATTTATAAGATAATTTTAATGTTTCGAATAGATTACAACATCAAATCTGTTAATCTGATGGTAATTTTTTCTTGGACATGAAAGGATTGATATTTTGAATTTGTATTGCTGAGGATGGTTCCAAAGTGAACTGAAACGTACTATTATATTTTTTGAAATAAAGATTCTATTTTCTGGATTGAAGATTTAAGATTGTGTATTAATTATCACGCTGACTCTTATTCGCCCTGTTTTTTTGGATTTTTTGTTGTTCTTTTCAGATTGGTTCCACCATTTATAGTCATGCGTATATGTATATATACACAATACTAGTGCGGTACAATACTAGTGTATGCAACACCGTATTTTCCATCACGCTCCTACCATATCTCCTACTCACAACGGTGCACTACAATTGATGGTGAGTACGCTCCACTCTCTCTCTCGAAAAATTCTAAATTTAAAATTATAAAAGTCGTCCAAAAACTTGCCGGTCCTCAGGAGGTTAATATATTAATAAATAAATTTATTAATATTTTTCATTGTATACATACTTTCATTGTAAACATGTAAATTATTGTTCTGATTTTGTCTTATGTAATAAAATGCTATTTCCTTTTAGATCGTACCTTGAGAATGGCGGAAAATCCAGATATTGATACGCCAACGAATTTTGTCATAACTTTCAAGTTATGTCTAAGAATATAACTCATATGCAAGCCTATCATTGTATACACAATCATCGTCAAAAATACACAAACTGACCAGTAGTAGGTGAATTTGCTGGATTTTGTGGGCCGACAACCACAGATAGTGAGCACATTTTGAAGGAATTGTTGATACGTGCGATACGCTTTCAACTGTTTATGAATCATTTTAATACCTGCGTGTACAGGGTTCCTTGTTTTAATTTTCGTATTGAAATATCTCAAAAAATACATAAAAAAAACCAAAAAATTACGGAAAAAATTTTTGAAAAATTTGTATAGGTACTCTATAGGAGAACAAATGGTTATAATATTAATTCTCAAAGGACTCCATTTTTCAAAAACATATAAAAATTACAGCTATTTTTTAAAATGGATTTACGATTTTTTTGTATATAATGATTCCTCTAATTGTTCTACATATAAAAATATCAAGATCCAGATAACGGAAAAAAATCAATAGTTCATTTTTTATATCATATTGTGTAAAATATCATAAAAATCCATTTAAAATACTGATGATTTCTTATGGAACTTTGAAAAATTATTTTTTCCTAAATTTTTTATTAGTGTTATGTGTCATCCTCCATATCATATATAATATCTATACATTTTTTGCCTAAAATATTTTTAATTTTCACCTGCAGTTTTAGTGTGTTAATTAGAATAATATTAAGTAAAATAAATTTTTTCAATAATATTCGACGATATAATCGGCGACTGGTCCAGTAATGTTAACGTTTTAAAACTAATGTTTATAAAAACTGTGACAAATATACTTTTCCATTTTACAACTAATAAATCACACAGTAACGTTATTATGATTTTGTTATGATACTTATTGTTACTGAAATTTAGAAATACATATGTTTTTCAAACGTCTAAACAAAATTATAAGTTTTCAAACACTATCACATATATGTATATACAAAGTCTAATAAAACATACGTCGTGTAAAAATTTTTACTCTCGTAATTGCGAGTCAAGAACCAACTTTTCTGTTAGAAGACTTTGAACTGAGGAATATCGCTGAAAATATCTGTCGTTCGGATACGATAGTTTTATAGGTAATGACACCAAGTCAGAGAAAGAGACTTTACCTTCTACCTTACTATATCCAAACTGTTATTGCACGATTGCAATTTGTATATTAGGGTCTCTTTGAAGTATCTTTTCGTTGACTATTATTTGCATTATACGTATTGTCTATTGAGGACTTGGAAAATTAATAGCTATTCTTGTGACCAATTTAATATGTCATTCGATAGAATTATTTGAAATGGATCATAATTTAGATTTGTTATAACTACAGACAAACTATAGGTATAAAAAAGTTGCACTTCAAAGAGAATGACAAGGCGAGTCTTGAGACCGCATGAGTTGCACTGCAAAACGTATCAAGATTAGGGTTATTCCTTTTCATTTAACTTATTGAAGGTAGATAGATTTACAATTCTCTTTCCTTATACGAAATAAGAAAGTCTATTTATTGATCATAATACTGTTGGTATACCTTGCGCACGACATTAGAAGAATATTGATATTTATATACAATCAGGGTTATAGTGAAGATATAAACAAAAAACAGAAAGTCCCGTTCGTCACCTGCACGTACACTTGTAACTTATCTTTTTCGTATGTATATATTATTGATATATTTTTCTTGTACACATTTTACTAAATTAATGCACAGCTTTATTAAACATATGCGCACATGCTGAATTGATCGATAACGTTTCACAATATTTTCCATAAATTTATCTCCTTTACAACGATAGAGAGAGGCTCATTTACGAGGATTATTTTTGTTTCTGAGAAAAAGAAGACTTTACACTGTCGATCGAAACATTGTCGTTATTAGCAATATATATGTAAATTTTAATGCTTACAGCTTAGATGACTTGAGGATATAAACAGATATCTGTATTACTGAAAGTACCCCTCGTAGTCACATGCACTCGATAGTCACCCTTTCTCGAATAAGTAAATTTACGATATTGACATATCTTCCCTTTACCTACTATCAGGTCAGTGTGCAACTTGGTAACTGTTTATGTGCAATAATCAATAGAGATATATAATACGCTCTTGTATCAGTATAAATTAAGCATTAACAGTATAATAAAAGTGTGAATAAATTACATTGATTGCATTTTCTTAATTATATTTATTTAATAACGAAATTTTACAATTTACTGCTGATTACGAAACATATACGCATAGAGTTCATCTCTATCCGTCTTTATCATCGATAGATCGCAATAGAAATAACACAGCCAGAAATGATAATGGAATTGACATCGAATCGATGTCGACTCCGTTATCATTTCTGACGAAGATAATGGATGAAGAAATGGATGAAGAAAGAAAAGTTATCATGATGTTTTATACGAACATGACAGTAATCGAATTTTTTGTCGAAATCAATCTGAGTGTGTTGTTTGAGACTTGCTGACTACGAATCCAAAATGTTTGTGTTCGATTAAAATTATATTCTTAATATACTTAAAAATTATTTTTAAAAAAAAGAGAAGTGAATGTGCTATCTTTTGACATTCTTTATTGCGGAATGCTAAAGTAGAATTAAGAAAAAATTCAAATTTTAAAGATTCTGAAAATATGATGAATATTATGCAGCTCTATGTAAATTTATTTAATTACTGTTGGCTATTACTTGTGATTATTTCGAGTATGCACATCGTACGATGCGCGAATAAAGGATAGAATGTGCAACACATTTACTGTCTCTCTCTATCTACAGGGAAAAACATCCATGTATATAAAATGGAATAATTTTCTAAACTTCTAATGATTGTCTTAAAATTGCGTTTTTATTTGTTTATGTGCTCTACTGTTTTCATAGTTCTAAATTGGTTGATTTGCTTTTCACAATATTGGTAGTTTAAACTTGTTACAGCGATTCAAAGTTCATTATTCAATATAGAACTTTGTTTTTAAATTTACAATAAAATTAATTTTTTGCATGTTGTTTTTATTTTTAATGAGAAGTCATTTAGTAAGTATACTTACCATCGAAATATGTATTATATCTATTACCAAAATACAATTTTAAAAAAATTCACTTTAAAACAAACTATACTAAAAACGATTTAAAGATATTGTTAATATCACTTAATTAAACGAATGAATAATTACGCTTTTTTTCAACTTTCTACAAGCTTTCTTGCTAAGCCCTCATCTTACACATCAATTTTTATTTGAGAAGAGTGTAAAGATAAAACGGACAAAGTCTAACGTTATAGTATGCTATATATATATCGTTGAAATATAAATTAAGCATTAATCGCAGGGTTGGTAAAAAACATGTCTTAAGCGTATTTATATAGTTTAAAACCTGTTTTAATTAATGTTTTTAATATGTTTTAAATGTGTTTCTTTAGGTGTAACTTTTAAAGCATATTTAACGTATTAAAAACATATTTAAGAAAAAACGCAATATGCTTTATTTAAAAAAGAAAACATTAGTCTTTACCAACCCTGATTAATCGTGTAATAATAAAATTAATTTAATAGATTATATTAATTGCATTTTTTAAAATTATATTAATAACACAATGAGAACATGATTTTACGAATTTGTCGGGGGTTACAAAACATACGTAGCGTCCATGTCTATCCGTCTTTATTCGATAGATTGTAACAGGAAAAAATAGGACATTGTAGCATTCACGGACTATTAATAAAAACGAAATAAATAGAATTAGATTAATATGCAAAAAGTATGCAGTTGTAAATATTATTAGCCAATGTATAGACTTTCCTAAGCCTTGCATAAAATAAAATCGCTAACAATTTGGAAAAATCAACTTTTTTTTATTATTGTTTTCCAGATTCATCTATTTACGTAAGCTATGTGTAAAAAAATTTTATTAAAATCGGAATTTGATACTTCACGGACTTTTGTCAGATAAACTCGGCCGATTACACAATTCTATAAAATTTTGTTTCGAACAGAAAGTGACTAGTTATTTTCTATAATTCTTTAAATGGATGCTGAATACTAAGTTGATTTTCAAATTGCTCTATTACGTTATAATTATGAGAAATTTGCAATTAAAGTTATAAAAAGATGTATTTTTGCGTATTTTATTATATTATAATTTTGATATGTGATGTATTCGTCGACATATTATAATTATAGTATTGAATGGAGCATAGCATTGTAATCATTTTGATAGAAAGAGGTGGTTTGACTAATGTATGGATAGAATACACTATTATTTTCTCTCTTGAAACAGTTAAAATTCAAGCAATACAATAATAGTATAGAAGAGAGTTCCATGGTTCCATGCCTATACAGGGTGTCTCGTAATTTTTGACAAAGCCCTCTAGTGTAGATAGAATGAACTAAACTGGTGACTCAAAAAGTCCTGTATCACTTTTCAATTTTCTCAATAGTTAATGAAATATTAATTTATGAAAATAGCCAAAATCGCCTGGCTTCCCGCTAAATGCAAGCGCGTGGCGATATAAGACTGCCCAGAGAATGCACATTTTTCATCACTAGCGGCTAGACCCTTTGTTTACTAACGACATTGGCATTAATATGTCTAGCATTAATATGTCTGGCTAACGCGCACCTCATTGGACGGTCTTATCTCGCTGCCCGCTTGCATTTGGCGGGAGACCAGGCGAATTTGGCTATTTTCGTAGATTAATATCTTGTTAACCATTTTGGAAGTTGCAAAATGATAGAGAACTTTTCGGTTCAATTTAGTCCGCTCTGTCTACATAATAGCGCTTTGCCAAAAATTGTAGTACACCCTGTATATTTAAAACTTGCATCATATTCGCATTGAACGAATTGAAAATCCTGAACGCGTTGTAATAATCCAGATGATATCTTGTATGACGGTTGCGGTATTTCAGGCACCTTATGCCTGTATAGAGTTATTACCTTTTATACAGAAATGGCATAGTTAATTTCTTTGCATGCACATAGGTCATTTGGGTTAACTTCGTTTAATTACAATAAGAATTTCTCCTGCATATGGCATATATCGTAATAATAATAAAAAAACACGTGGAAACTGTCCTTTTTATAACTTTTACTGATAATTTTTCAAAATTATGAAATGAGCAATT